AGGTCTCTATATAGTTCAGACTGGCCTTGAATACACTGTGTAGCCCAGGCTGGCCTCAAACTTGTGACAATTCTCCTGCTGCAGCCTCCCAAGTGCTGGGATAACAGGTGTGCATCACCATACCCAGCTTCCCCTGCCTTTTTAAATTTTTAATTTTGAGACCAGGTCTTGCTAAGTTGCTAAATTGCCCAGGCTGCACTCAAATTTTTGATCCTTCTGCCTCAGCCTCCCAGAGTGCTGGGAGTCTAGGCATACACCATCATACCTGACTGTATCACCAGTTTTAAAGGCTGTAGAGTATTCCACCCACAGGGAGGAACATTATTTGTTTCACCATCCTTCACTGACCCCATCCCACTAGAACTTGTGCCCAGGGGACCTCACTGTCAGTGCCCCACATTTTCATTGATCCCTTTTAGTCCTACCAAACCCTGCTATTTTGAGACACCAGGGCCAGGGGTGGGCAGAGTGGTTTGAGGATGGGCTGGATCTGGGCCTCTTGTTACTGGTCTGCTCAGCCACTCCAGCCTCTCCTTTCTTTTCCTGTCCCCTATGTGAGGAGTCCTGTGTGGGCACGGGGGTGGGCTATGCCCAAATCTCATCCTTCTATCTCGTCCCTATAGGAGCTGGCCGAGCTGCAGTCCCAGATCTCAGACACATCCGTGGTGCTGTCTATGGACAACAACCGCAGTCTAGACATGGACAGCATCATTGCTGAGGTCAAGGCTCAGTACGAGGAGATGGCCAACCGCAGCCGGGCCGAGGCCGAGGCCTTGTACCAGAAGAAGGTATGTGGCCACTTGGGGCATCTTTCCTCCTCCTGCCAGAGCCCTTGGTGGGGCTTCTCTTCCTCCTCATCTTGCCTCAAGGCTTCAGGGCCTGGAACCTCCCTATCCTGGCAGGCACATGGAGAAGTCTGTGGTGCATGCTGGCGCCTAAGGAGGAAGTGGACACACAGGCCAGGCCCCTGCCCTGGGGGAGATCCCAGCCCTATGGGGAGGCTGGGCAGAGGAAACAGACATGCATTAGTAATAACTCAAATGTGGCAAGTACATAGAACTAGGTACAGCTTAGGAACTTATGGGCACGGCATATTTACATAGGTGACGTTTCCGGTATTTTACCTCTGTTGACTCATTTAATCCACACAGTTCTCTCAGGTGGGCACCATTACTATTGCAGCTTTAATGATGAGGCTGGAGGAGGTACAGAGAGCTTAGGTAATTTGCTCAAGTAACTAGCTGTCTGGATGGAAGAACATGGGCTATGTAGATCCCAAGTCCTAAGGCTGCAGACCTGGGAGGCGTAATCATTGCACATCCTCATGGGGCCAGGTCAGCCGACAGTGTCAGTGCGGAGGGTGTGGGCAGCAATGCTGGGGTGAAGCAGTGCTCCTGCAGCAGGACCCCGAGGCAGGTTGAGAAGCAGCATGGAGGGAGGTCTCTGCAGAAGTTGGTGCATGCGTGAGAGCATAGGTACACCAACTAGGAGGTTTGGCTTCAAGCCTGTGCTGCTCTTGATTTGCTGTGTGATCCCTGGACTGTGTTTGTCAGGACTCACTCTCCACATGTGTGAGGTAGGTGGTGCTGAGAGGGGCCTGTTGAACAGGACAGTGTCTCGGACTTGCGATTCTCCATGATTCTTCAGCAGCAGGGCAGAGTGGGAGCGGGAGAACCTCAGAGGCAATAGGCAGAGGCCCCAGGAGCCTTCCCTGTCCTGGTCCTGGCTAGGAGGGGCTGCGTTTCTTCCCCACCCCACTGTCCAGCCGTCTGGCTTCCTGATTCTGGGTGAGGATGGCTGGGAGTCTGACCGTTCGCCCCTGGAAATTTAAGTGGGGAGGCTTTCCCTGGGTGGGGAGAGGGGCCAGTTGGCTGTAATCCTTGCCCACCCTCTGCTGTACCTCTCTGCATGCCCCTTCCAGTTTGAGATCCTCCAGGCCCAGTCTGGGAAACATGGGGAGGACCTCCGGAATACCCGAAATGAGATTGTGGAGATGAACCGGGCCATCCAGAGGCTGCAGGCTGAGATCGACAACGTCAAGAACCAGGTGGGGATGAGCCCTCCTTCTTCCTCCTCCCTGCTCCTTGGAGCACTCAAGAAGCAGCCAGCCAAGACAAAGCGCAGAGTGAAGGCCAGGCCGCTGGAGGGGTGTGTCATCCTGCTTTCGCCTGCCTGGGGGTGGTGTAGCTCACACCTCAGGCCCACTGGTGAGACCTCCAGAACAGAATGCTGTGGGTCAGGACCTGGCTTGGGGATAGAGGGAGATTCCTAGCAGCACATAGAGCCCGTGGAAAGAATCTCAGGCTGGCTGGCCAGAGAAAAACTACCTTTAGGTACCACACTGGCTCTGAGTTCTTTGCTTATACCTAGCTCTTGGGCAGTTTGCACCATCTGGGAGCTCACAGTTCACAGGGGAGACTGAGGCTAGTAGAAAACTTTACCATGGCTTACAAGCCCCTTCCTTCCCCTCTCCTCACTTCCCATGGCTCCCTTCCCTCTCTCCCTCTGCTCAGGCCACACCAGCCTGCTTCCTGTATCTTGGATTTGCTAAGCATATTCACGCTTCAGGGGCTTTGCATGGGTTTTTCCTCCACCTGCAATGTGGTTCTCCCATTTCCATCCGTGACTGTCCCTTTCCCATCTCTAGAGTTTAGGATAAAAAACCCCTTCCTTAAACACACTGCCACCTCAACAGTTTGTCAGAAGTTCTTTGAAGCTCCTATCACTCTGAAATGTTGTCACTATTAAGATGTAGATGGCCCCGCCCCCACTGTAATATAAAAGGCCTTGAGAGCAGGGACCCCATCTGGCTTGTTCTTGAGTCCTCTCTTCTGGCAGCTGGCACGTGGTAGGGGTGCAGGTCTCAGATGAGACACTGATGGTGAGGATGTGCTTTGCCGGCAGCTGGAGCTGGGGGATGCTGAGTGATGAGGGAGGGGTCCCCCAGGCCCCGGCGGAGACGCTGGTGTCTGCAGTGGGGGCAGAGCAGGTAGCAAGTGCTGCAGCTTCAGAAAGCTTTTCCCAGAGGAGCTGAGAGGATGGGAAGTGAGAGTCCTTTCCCAGAAATCCACCCACCCCCTGCAGGCGTGTTTACACAAGGGCAGAGGCTGCCTCCTGGCACAGGTGCAGGGCCATGAATCACCCTGTGAAGCTGATCAGCTTCCGCCAGGATGGGAGGCATGGGATAATGAATGGTGGTTTCTCAAACCTCAACTTCTACCACATGTTTCTGTCACACAATGGGGCAGAGCCAGGCACCACAATCAGGGTATCTGTTACCAGGAGGGCCCTCAAGAGAGCTGGGAGCGGCTTCCTGAGACAGCAGGGTGGCCCTGGCCCAGGGGGCACAGGCAACAGGGCAAGCGTTGAGTGGTGACTGAGGGCAGTGAGGATGGGCCTCTGCTGAGGGAAGAAGATCCGAGGGCAGAGGATGGTAGGTGAGAAGGGAGGAGGAGAAGCCTAGGCTGGGACATGGGGACAGCAGGTCTCTCAGGCAGCTGAACAGAAGGAGACCTGGGCCTGGACTGACTCCTGCTGGGGAAGTTCCTAAAGCAGGGAGAGCTCTAGGGCCAGGCAGCACATGGCAACCGCTCACGGCTGGCACAAGTCCACTGAAGCCCCATCCCTGCCAAGACCCACAGCCTGTGGATCATATAGCCCATGGCATCTGGGTGACCAGGATGGCCTCTCTGCTCCAAGACCCCCTGTTCTGGGTTGTTTCCAACTGGTTCTTGTTTTAAACACGGTTTCTAATCCTCATCAGCTGCCTGGCATTTGGGGACACAGCCAGGATCCCATGGTCTTAGAGTTCCTGCAGCTGGGGCCTGGAGGACAGGGATTTGTGAATCATGATAGCATTTATGAATGATAGTAGTTACTGTACTACTTACTGTTGCACCAAGACTTCTTGTGTTATTTCATCTTCACAATTTTCCTTTGAGGGAGACACTATGATTATTGCTATTTAATTTTTATTTTTGTGCGTACTGGGGATCAAACCCAGGCTTCAGGTGCCAAGCAATCCCTCTACCACTGAGCTATGTCCCCAGCCTTTTTTATTTTATTTTGAGAGAGGGACTTGCTAAGTTGCCAGGCTGGCTGACCTCAAACTTGCAATCCACTTGCCTCAGCCTCCTAAATCACTGGGATTACTCCTGGGTACCCCCATGCTGGCTTCTTATTGCATCTTTTTTTTTTTTTGAAGAAGGCAGACTTTGCCATGAAGGGTCACTTCACCCAGGGACACATAGCTAGTAAGTGGTAGAGCCAGACTTAGAACCTAGGCATCAAAAATCCCAATCCACGTGATTAACGCTTGGGGTGCCCTGGTGCTTGAGGGAGTAGGCGGTGCCAATGAGGGCACCTCAAGCAAGTTGCCCAGGTGCTAGATCCAGGGTGGGCAGGCAGGAAGGCAGTGGCTAGTGCACCTTGGCACCCAGCTCACAGCTCCACTATTGCCTGCAGCGTGCCAGGTTGGAAGCTGCCATCGCTGAGGCTGAGGAGCGTGGAGAGCTGGCCCTCCAGGATGCTCATGGCAAGCAGAGGGAGTTGGAGGCCGCCCTGCAGCAGGCCAAGCAGGACATGGCCCGGCAGCTGCGCGAGTACCAGGAGCTCATGAACATCAAGCTGGCGCTGGACATCGAGATCGCCACCTACCGCAAGCTGCTGGAGGGCGAGGAGAGCAGGTGAGGCGGGGGAAGCTGGGCAGGAGGTCCTGAGGTTCAGTGGGGCCTGGGCTTGGTATCCATCCATCACAAGCATTTCCTGTGTGCCCCTCCTCTGCAGGGCACAGGGGTGGGAGGTGTAGGGGCACAGCGCTGATGCTTGCTGCTTTGCCCTCAATGAGGTGACCTTCTGGAAGGGAAGAGAAACCCCTTTGTGTGTATGGCCATTCACACTGATGTCTTATTTGATCTTCAGCATGTTTTCAGGAAAGCAGGTCCGATAGTACTGACTCCTTGGTCTGCTGAGGCGAAAGGTGTTGTTCTGTTTTATGAATGGAGGGAACAGGGCCACTGTGTGGTTAAGGCTGTGCTGATTCCTGGTCCAAGCAGCTTCCACGCTTCCAGGATGCTGCTTACCACACACTCTGCTAAATCATGTGGTGGGGACTGAGTGTGCGGGAGGAGAATCATCTCCTCTGTCCCCGACATACTTGCGTACCCACCTGCAGCCAGAGCAGAGGCTGCAATGGGTTAGTTTTGTAGGATATTCTTCATGAAAGCTATGGCACCTCCATCTACGCTGTTGGGTTAGTTGATGCTTCCTGTCAACAGACAAGGCATCAGAGGTGTGCCTTGAGGAAGGCTAGGATTTGGACAGGTGAGAAGCTGCAGCATGGCAAGGGTGTGGAAGCAGGACTTGTGCTGGCTTGTTAAAACCCAGCGTGGAGATGGATAATATATGACATGATTCTGCCCTCAGGGAGGTTACACAGTGCTGAGGAGGCAAAACACCTGCAAAAGAAGCACTCAGAGACCAGCATCTTATATTTTTCAGATGCTGAATTTATAAAAGCTTTTTTCCTTTCCTGAGCATTATTCCTGGGGGCTAGGGGGAAGGGCTGGGGAGAGAGGATGGAGGATGAATGCAACGGAGAGGAAGGGGCGGGGATGAAGTTATGTTGAGCAGAGTGCCAGGATGCCGGGAAGAGGAGGATGAGGAGGGATGTGGCAGCAGGACATGGGTTGGGAGGTGGGTTTCCTGCCCTTGTACTTGACTGGCCCTTCTCTGGGTGGACAGCCAGGCTTCTTCGTGGGCAGAGGAACTGCACATTAGAGGCCTCTGGGAAGAAAGACACTTACCTTGGACACAGGGCAGCTCCAGCCATGTTACTTCTCTTTGCACCCTCCTGCCCATGGCTTTAGGGGCCATAATTTATTGGGAATCCACATCTTTGGCCTCTTTTCCTCATAGAAGTCAGAGTTGGGGAGACCCTTAGAGCATGGACTCTTGTAGCTTCTTCCCTGGGCTGATGAGGGAATTGGAACTCAGAGATGGTAAGTGGTGTTCCCAAGGTCACACAGCAAGACAAGGCATCCCCCTGTGAATGCTGGGTCACTGTAATGAGAGCTGTTCCTGGTGGACACCTTACTTGTATCCCTTAATCCCTCAGCCCTTCCTAGGGCAGACCGAGGATCATGGTCCCAAAACTCATAAAATGTGGTGTAGGAGGTGCTTTTGAGAATACAAAATTATGAATAAAAATTAGGCACATGAATAAATACTTATTTAGAATGAAAACAAAAAAGCACACAGATCACTAGGACATGGACATTTAGATCTCTTCTGAGTTCCTTAGATCTTGTACCAGACGTTCTTGCGTAGAGTTGCTGCTTGGTGGCAGGCTGCCCTCATCCTCCATAACTTCTAGCACTTCCAGCAGGGGCCATTCAGGCAAGTGTCCTAAACCCCATTGCTTGCCCTCTTCCTAGCTTCAGGTTGTGGAGGCCAGCTAGGCTCCACACTTCCTCCATCAAAGGGGCCCCCCTGCAAGCTGATCCCCAAGGCCAAGGGCTTGGTGGCAATGGGGCTGTGAGTCACAAAACAAACAGACCCAGCTGTCTCAGATAGATTTTTAGTTTCTACTGCAAGACCTGTTTCAGCCCCACGGGCTGCTTAAAGCTACCCCACCTACCCCCACCCTCTGCCGTCCTGTCTAGCTGAAGTGGCAGTCAGATCAATCAGCGATTCATTAATTATTTCAACACGTATAGATAATTACTATGTTCCAGTCCTCATGTCAGGGGCTGGAGACACAGGAATAAATAGGCAACTTTTAGGACTTCTCCCACCCTGCCCGGGTGAGTGAAGGCAGATGTGTGCTTATGGAGGAAGTGTAGTTACCATTTACCAAATCTTGGGGTAAATTATACTAGTTAACTGTCACAAACAAGCCTCTGACTTTGGTCCACTAGTTAGGCCCAATTTATAGGTGGGAGATGGAGGCTTTGGGACATGGCCCCAGGTCATGTGGCCAGTAGGGAGAAAGGCCTGAGGGACCCCCCCCCCCACCCTCACTTTGCAGCAAGGCTGAACACAGATTGGTGGTAAGGAACCTGCTTGGGGCCCGGAATGGGGGTGTCTGGCAGCACCTGCCCCGGACTTGAGGCAAGAGCTATTCTCATGGTTTGTCCTCTCTACTCAGGTTGGCCAGAGATGGAGTGGGAGCTGCGAACATCTGTAAGTCCTCGGCTGCTGCCCCTGAGCTGTGCAGCTAGGTGGGGTTTTCAGAACGGCCAACCGGTCGGAGACCCTTGCTTGTGGGGCTGGCAGCCTCCCTCCTTCCCACAGCGCTGGCAAGTTCCCAGGAACTCACATCCAGCTCAGTGGCCCAGGCAGTGAGCCCTGTGGGGAAGCCTCCACCACCATCCCTCCACCCTTAGAGGCTCTTTCTGTATTGGCTGATGGGCGGGTTAGAGAGGGAGGAAGGGGTGTGTGGGGAGGCACAGGAGGGTGGGGGTGTAGTGAAGCAGAGGGATTGCTGGGGGGCCTTGTACCAATGGAGTCCTCCTCCCTTCTCTTGCAGCTGTGGTGAATTCCAGCGGTGGTGCTGGTATTGGGCTGGTCTTCGGGGGAACCATGGGCAGCAATGCCCTGAGGTTTAGCAGCGGCATCCCTGGGGCTGTCAAGGCCTATTCCATCCGGACCACATCTACCACCAGAGAGAGCACCCACCACTGAGTCCTGGGCATAGGGAGACTGTGTCCCTCTGCCCGAAGTCCCAAGATTCTCTTCCTTCCCTCTTCTTCCCAGTCCTAAGATTGTATAACACTCTGAAAAAGATGTCAGGGTCCCTTCAATAAAGAGCCTTTTGAAGCCTGAGTGAATTTAATGCCTGGTGCTGGGCATCCTGGCTTGCTTAGGGAGGAAGGGAAGGAGGTGGGAAGGATGGACCAGGAAGGTCAGCGTCTGACCTGATAACCAGGAGGCCTCCTGTGGAGGGGACTGAGGAAGCACATGGTGACATAGGGTGCTGCTCTGAGGGTGGACTCGTCCAGGGTAACATCTTTGCCTCTTTCTAGAGGAAGCTCAGGAAGGCCACAGGAACTTCAGGCTCTGCTAGTAAGTGACTGCTGGAATCCTTCCCTGTCCAGGGAGTGGCAGGGATGTTTGTGTCCCTACGCCCAATGTCCTCTCTGCTGCCAGAGTATATTTCTTTTGCAATGAGAAGGCCACACATTCAGCTGCCCCAGGCCCAGGTTTTGGGAGGCCAGCTCTCAGGCCAGCTGTCCTTTCTTGGGGCTGGATCTGCCAGGCCATGGAGCACTGGACAGGTGTGTGTGTGTGGGTGCTGAAGAGGGATCTTCACGTCTGGGACTCTGTAGGAGTGGTAGTCATAGATGGAGGGCATTTGTGCATGGGAGGGGTCTCAGAGTGTAGGTCACTAGGAGGGAGTCTGTGCTTGGGTCCTTAGGCAAAGGGATAGGCTGTGTACCTGGATCCCATAGTGGAAAGGAAAAAGGTAGGGAACCTCTATATGTTACCTCTGAGCTTGATGGGGGCCTCCGAATGTCAAGGTCTTTAACATGGGGGTTTTACATCAGGGCCAAGGCACGGGGACATTGTTCCTGGTGGACAGTAGCACATCTGGTGGGTGCTAGGGCCTCTGGGGCACTCAGGTGGTGACAGTGGTGTATGTGTGTAGGGTCGCATCTGGGATGTGCTGGTTGCTGAGAAGTCCATATTTGACCCTATGGGCAGGGAGTTTTCTCAAGTTGACCTGGGGGCTGGATGTGGGAGTGGAGGAAGTAGACCACTGGTGTACAACAGCTGCAAGTGGTGACATCCTTCTTTAAGGTTTCAGAGGCGAGCTCCTCCTCTTGCCCTGCCTGTGGTTTTGTGTGTCTGACTTTGGGGGCTGCCTGCCTATCCTGGCAGCCTTCAGGATGTAGTGTGTGCAGGCTAGGGGCAGAGGGCCCTGAAAACTGCCTTCCTGTCCTCTATGGCTGACAACAACTGCTCATCCACTGCCTCCTGGAGGGAATCTGGGCAGACAGGTAAAGCGGGCAGGACCTACAGGAGATTATCAGCAATTGTGTGCCTGTGAGCTTTATTGCAAAGCTGGGGACCAAGTATGAGGGATGAGAGGGAGCAGGGCAACCACAGAAAGCCAGTCCACTAGGAACCTAAATGCAGCCTGTCACCAAAGCTGGGTTTTGAAGGGAGGAGGGAGGCAGAGCACACAAGGGACTCTGGAGCCAGTCTGTCCCTCGGAAGCCACAGGTGTCCACGCCCCAGGAGCAGCCTGAGCTGGGGTTGGGTCTTTGCTCAGGGTGGCAAGGAACCCTGCCATTGAACTGCTTGTGGTTCAGTGAGCACCACCGGACTCAGGCCCAAGCCTGGCTCTCCCTGGAAGAGACTAAGAAAGAAGTGCATAGGGTGATTCGAGACTGTGGTGCGCAGCAGTGTGGGCAAGTCAGACCGCTGTGCCTGCAGCCCTTCCTCCTCCTGGCCCAGGCTTTTGGAGCTCCGGGTCGGATGCAGGGGCTGTGGCTTGTGGGCAAAGTCTTTCCAAAGCGGGGGACACTATGCAAAGCCCACAGAGCACACAGAGCGGCTGCCGCTGCAGCTCTGGCCACAGGGTGCCCACAGGCAGGTACTCCCTGTCACATTCTTCCTGCTGCACGGGGTGCTGCAGATGCTGCTTGTCACGGGCTGGGAGCCTGACATGCACAGGTCCCCACACACGACCCTGCTCCAGGAGGTGCTGACACCTAGGGGAGGACAGAATTTAGCCCCAGCTGGGTTGTTGCCTGTGGGCCCTGCCTTCTGGGTGGATGGCCTGAGCCCCTCTGCTTAGGGCTCCTCCCTCCACTTCCAGCTCCTTCCTCTTCACTCGGGTCACTGCTTCCTGTATGTAACCACAAGTATCTGTGGTACACTGTTCGCCCAGGCCCGCCCTGTAGGTAGAAACTGTGACTTCAATCCCCCCTCCCGCTGTGCTGTGTGTTGGCTTCCTGCTTTGTAAATAAAGTTTTATTAAAACTCAGTCATACCTACTAAGTGTTGCCCATGGCTGTGGCTGCTTTCACAGTAAGAATTGAGTAGTTGGGACACAGAGCGTACTGCCCACGTGCCTAAAATATTTACTGTCTGACCCTTTAAGGAAAAGTTTGGGACTGGGGATGTAGCCCAGTGGTAGGGTGCTTTCTACCTTGTACAAGGCCCTAGGTTTAACTGCCAGCACCAGGAAAGGAATAAGATTGTCCATCAGAATCCCTAGCCTTATTTCCAAAATCACAGCATCGGTTACTTACAGACACTCACACGACCGATGCCCTCACACAACCTTGTGGGGAGAGCAAAGAGACAAAATTTAATTAGAGAAAGCAAAGCTGATGAAATCTTTTAACATGCAAATTCCCTTCTCTAATTAATCTGGATACAAATTAGTTGTAAATAATATGCAAACATATTCCTGGCTTGGAAGCATCAGCATTACTTAAGAGATAGAAAAGACACCTTTCCCACAGGTGTGGACTGCACCTCTGCTCCTCGCCCTCCAGCAGGCGCCTGTAGGTGGCGATCTCGATGTCCAGGCCGAGCTTGGAGTTCATCACCTCCTGGTACTCCTTCAGCAGGCAGGCCATGTCCTGCTTGGCCTTCTGCAGGGCCTCCTCCAGCCCTGCTGGCTTGCACTTGGCATCGTTGAGGGCCGCCTCACCCCGGTGCTCAGACTGGGTCACCACGGTCTCCAGCTTGGTGTTCTGGGTGATGAGGCAGAGTTATTAAGGTTCCCTGTTCCGGGCTCAAAGTCAGAGGTCAGGCATCAACTGACTGTTGACTCTGAGAAGGGGCCTCACCCATTGCAAGTAAGTGCTCCCAGGCAAAGTTGGCACACTGGTAATTAACCTAACAGTCCCAGCCCCTGGCTTGTTTTGAAAGGACCTAGCCATACTGGATCTGCTTTTCTGTGCAGCCTGCCTCAGTGGGCTGTGTTTGCTCTGCCTTTTTTGTGTAGGGTTTGTCACAGCCCCTTTCCTATCACCCCCATTCCTTGGACACAGTCTGCTGTGCTCATTTCCTGGCCTCTATTGACACCTGAGTGTGTGATCTCTGATCTGGGACAATGGACCACAGAAGTCAAATGGCTCTCCTGAATCCCACAACGCACAGATAACAGTGGGGTGTGAAAACCCAGGTTGCCTGCACCTCAGACCAGTGCTATTTCCTTTGTCCCCTTCTGTCTCTGGGACAGGGAAAACTCTTGTCACCTTCTATCCCTCCATACTGCTCTCCCATCTCAATTCAGGGAGAATGGCTCTTTATACCTTGGACTTGGTGTCCTCAATCTCAGTTGTCAGCCTCTTGATGATGTGGTTCAGCTCGCTGATCTCTTCCTTGGTGCCATGCATTGTATCCCTGTGCTGGATCAGGGCAGCAGGATAGATCAATCTATCCCTGTGTGTGGCCTTCATTTCCTCATGCTGCGGATAGCAGAGATGCTCATGAGGGTCAGAGTGGGATGTCCCACCTGCTGGGAACATCACTAATGACTGCAGTTTGTACAGTGCTCAGCCTGTGCAGCCACACTTGGCAGCTCCACCATGTCACTCCAACCTGAGAGCTGTGGACCTTTCTCTTCCCATTCTCACTTAGTTACTTTTTCATTGCTGAGACAAAATACCAGACACCCAAAAGTTAGAAGAGGAAAGGTTTATTTCAGATCACAGTTTGTAGAGGTTTCAGTCCGTAATCAGTTGGTGCCAAAGCAGGGTGGCATGGCAGAGGGGCATGGCAGAGGAGAAACAGTCCATGACAAGCATGCAGGAGATAGCAGCAGCAGCAGCAGCAGCAACAACAACAGCAAGTTTGCCTCTCTTTTTGTATTCCATTCACGCTACCCATCTTTTGGGTGGTACCACTCAGAACTATGTTAATTCCAATCAGTGGATGAATCCACATACCCTTAATCCCAGCATCACATCCTTAATCCACATTCACACACCCTAGATCCAGCCACCTCCTTTTGGAGTTTTTTAACTCCATCTATGAACCCATGAAGTTTGGGGGGACATCTAGATACAAGCCCTAACACATCCTTAGAGGTCAGAAACCCCAGATGAAAGAAGCATTTCTTATTACACTTCATGTGCTTCCCACTGTCATGTCTAGCAGGCTGTTGTTTTGAGCCACTCACCCTGGTATGGTACCCGGACTTGGCTTTGGCCTGGCTGTGGGTAGTAATGTCATCATACTGAGCTCTGGTCTCAGGCACTATGTGGTCAATGTTCAGGTGCCTGCTGTTGTCCATCCTGACAATGACCGGAGGTGTCTGAGATGTGAGAAGAGAGAACATAGATTTCCTACAAGGAGAAATGCTTCTTAGTCAATCTCTGCTCTTGCAGCCCATCCTCTCAGAGGCCTTTCCTGTCCCCTTTCCCTGCTTCCTCTAACAGCCTCACTGTCTGAAGCCCGAGTCACAGTCTTCTTGGTCAATTTTGGGACCTTCCATGCTTCTCCAGCACAGAGTCCCAGGAATGAGAAAAGGCAGAGAGAGCCCACATCTGAGGCCAGCTGTCTGGTTCCAGTCAGTGCTTCCAACTGCATCCTTGAGTCTAGGACCAGAGTTTGCCAGCTTGTGATAACCATCACCTCAAAGGCCAGGATACCAGCTTGTATGTTGTTATGGTTTGTGTCTGAATGTCCCCCCAGTCCTCATGCAGTCATGGGGTGGGCTTCTAAGATTTGTGATTGACCCATTATCCAGTGCTGGGATTATGGGTGTGAGTGCTACACCCACCTTGGGGTGGGTAGTTTGCATACAGTGTAAGAGAGGGAAAGAGTCTGCTTGCCAACATCCCTCCCTTTTGCTCTTGCTGCTTTTTTTTGCTGTGTTCTGCTGCCATAAACTGTTGCCCTCTGCCATGTGCCATTCTGATGCAGAGCCAGCTGAGTATGGACTAAAACCTCTACAAACTATAAGTTAAATGAAACTTTCCTTCCTTAATTTTTGGCATCAAGTGTTTTGTCTCAGCAACAACAGCAAAATAACTGAGACAGAATTTGGTACCAGGAGTGGGGTTGTTGTTATGACTGTACCTGACAATGTGGTTCAAAAACCTTTAAAAATGGCTTGTGGGAAGAGTTTAAAAAGGTTCAGAGATGTCACCTAAAAGAGAAGTGCTAGAACTCCTTTGGCTGCTCTGTATGGGAGGTTCTGGTGAGAGCTCAGTTTTTATCAAAGACTGATAAAAATCCTGCCAGTAAAGACCAGGTTCAGGAGGTTTCTGTTGAGAAGAAGGACTGCATTGGTTCTTGGACTCCAGATGATGTGTGCTATAGCTTGGCAAAAAGTTTGTCTGCGTTTTGCTCATGTCCAGAGACTTTGCCTGAGGCTGAGATTAAGGGCAGTGGCAGACTGATTAATGTGGCAGAAAAAATTTCAAGGCAGTCAAATGTTGAGGTGGTGGCATGGCTATTGTTGGGGCCTTTTAGCCAGATTTACATTAAAAATCAAAAACAAAGAGCCCAGC